AGGGAGAGGCACTATTAGGAGGTGTGGCCTCGTTGGAGCAAGTGAGGCCTTGTTGGAGGCAGTGTGTCACTGTGGAGGCAGACTTTGAGGTCTCTTTTAGCAAGCTTCACTCAGTGCGACAGTCAGTGACTTCCTGCTGCCTTCTGGTCAAGATGTAGCCAGTATCATGGCTACCTATATTTGGCCATTCTCCCTGTCATGATGATAATGGACTGAACCTCTGGACTGTAAGCCACCCCAATTACATGTTTTCTTTGTAAGAGTTGCCATGGACATGGTGTCTCTTCACAACAATTAAAAACCCCAAGACAGCTAGCTGCATAATAGATATTTACATTACAACTCATAACAGTAGCAACATTACCATTATGAAGTAGCAACAAAATAACATTATGGTTGGGGGCCACCACAACATGAAGAACTGTATTAAAGGGGCCACAGCATAAAGGAAGGTTGAGAACCACTGAGTTAGAGAATTGGGGGGTGGAATCAGTTCTCACACTTCTTTTTCATCACTTTAAGTTTTCACATTTAAACATTAAACAATTCCATACCCTGAAAAGTTTGGGGAAGAATGTCATAGGATCTGGCTCCCATACCCAAGATCAGAATGTGAGCTGGTCTTCATACTTGTTTCTAAGCTCTGTTGAGGAGAGTCTTACAGACATGGTGCCTAGCACACCCATCTAGACCATGTCATGGTCACCACATTCCTATCTTTACTCCACTCCAGGGATACCTTATCCTGAAGTCATGCGTCCTTCCCTTCCACCCATTGTATTAGTCAGGGTCCTCTAGAGGAATACAACCGACAGAACGAACATATTTTAAAAGGGATTTGTTAGAGTGGCTTACAGACTATAGTCTGGCTAGTACAACAATGTGGGCCTCCCAGTCAAATGGCCAAGGATCCAGTAGTTGTTCAGTCCACAGGCCGGAGGTCTCAGCTGGTCTTCAGGCAATGTTGGAACCCTGAAGAAGTAGGCTCTAACACCAGTAAAGGGATGCCTCAGCAGCACCATTGATAAACTTTCCAGTGAGAGAGAGGGCAAGCAGGCAAAAGTTTCCTTCTTCCATGACCTTTTATGTGGGCTGACACTAGAGGCATGAGGCTTTCCACCTCAAATGATCCAATGAAGGAAATCCCTGACAGGTGTGCCAGAGGCTTGGGTTTTAGTTGATTTTAGATGTGGTCCAGCTGACAACCAAGATCAGCCATCACAAACAGGTAAGTATATATGTTCATGTGTGTGTGCTAGCATGTCTTATAATTATATTGCTAAGTCTCGCTGAGTTGGGCCTGAGGGTGCTTCTGTATAAACGTCTTCCCCAATTGAGTACTCCATATGCACCACATTCCAGTTCCTTCTTTGTGCTTGATTTTGAGGCTCACCTGTGTGAGCAAGATGCATCCAATCTATGCTGGGACTTTAGTCACAGTCCAGTGCAGAGTATATTATGTATCAATCCCTTTGAATTGTGAAACCACTTTAACCCGTCCTTAACTGTTCCACACCTATGAATTGTGTGAAATTCAATGTGATTATAGTTGATATTAGCAACTGGGTTAAAAGAACTTGTGTTTGTCAATGGCTACAAGCTCCAAGGGAATAATGAAGACATGGTGAGTGAAAGCTGAAAAAAAATCAATGTAGCGTGATTTATTGACATTCAATAAATCCCAACATGGTGGAAACATACAGCCATATCCATGCTGCTAACAGCTCTCTCACTACAGCTTTTCTGGAGGTCTTATTTGAAACAAACACAACTTTGCAGGCACATTACCAGTCAGCTAAAGAGGCAGCCATTTTTCTTTCCCACTCCCTTCAAGCACAAGAGACTGCCCCTAAAAGTACTCGTCTGGCAGCTAATATATTGGATGTGCATGAGTGCCTCCCAGAATCATTTGTGGGAAGCAGAATAAATGAATCAAGAAGTACATAAGTAGATGATTATAGCAAGAATATATGGGGCAAGGTAAGCTCGTCAAATCAATTGTGTCCATTAGGGAATTCTACACTGACACTAATTCATGTCAGGGCATGTTTCATAAATACTGTGCCTTATAGTGTCTTAACTTTGGCATTGTCCAGGGACGAACCAAACTCAGCCCTCTCTTCTCTGACCACTGCAAAGTTCAGTGATCAAGAGCAAATATTTCCATGCCTCCTTTCCCTGATCAGAATATTAATATATAGATCAAAAGGACAATCTGTGAGCTTGCTAATATCCAGTGGTTAGAGGAGGGGCAAAAAGCGATGTAAGTCTAACACAATGAAAACAATCCACTTGTCAATGGATCCCCTTTTAGAGAAAAGATTAGACTAGTGAATGCCTTAATCTGCCTGCTGAAAGATTGTATGTAAATCATATGCAAATTATCCCCACTGCTGACAGTGACTAACAGCGCTTATTGTATCCCACATGCTCGGCTAAGACTTGTGGGGAGTGACTAGCTCTTGAGTAGTATTTTGGGATCTAAGTCTCTCAATGGCTTTGAATGAACAGGACTTTTAAGTGTCTTGTGCCAATGAACCTTTTGTGCTCTGTCAGAGCCTTTTCCCACTTCATTTTAGTCACAACTTCACTTCATTATAAACGTCATTTTTTCTTTCGGCCGTTGGGAAAGCTACATGTCCTACAACGTAGAAGGTATTTTAAGTGTTTTTCTCCCATGCTCTGATGTTCTACCTGGGCTATGTTTACATACAAATTGGTTTGACAATATTTAATGACTTGACAGGGTAAAATAGATTCTTGCAAAAAAAAAAAAAAGACTCAAGAAAAAAAAATGAGTTAACTAGAAATTTCTCTTGACTGATCTAGCACTATTCATGGCTATCGCTGCTGCCATTTTCTGGCTTATTGAACACTGAAGTAAAAACTAAATGACTTTAAAAACCTGACTTAAATTATTTTCAGATGGATGGATTTTCTTATCCTCCCAATGCTGATCACTCTTGGTATGATTTCATCTCACGAATTTTCAAAGTGCACTGGGTCTGGACAGATGGCCCAGCCTGTGGGCAGAGACTGGCGGTCACTGGGCCTGCAGGAACTGGCCTGTTGCTTTACACTCCCAGCCGGATGTACTAGTTTGTCTTTACTGCCCAAATCACATTGTAAGATTTGAAACATGAGGGGACCTTTAAGTGCAGTAGGACACATCTGTAATCTCAGCACTTGAGGAGTGGAGTAGAAGCTACACAGAGAATCCTGTCCAGAAGAAGAAAAAGAAAAGAAAAGAAAAGAAAAGAAAGAAAGAAAATCCAGGGCTAGCCATGCAGCTCCATGCAAGGTGCTTTTCTAGTGTCCCCAAGACCCTGGGTTCCTTTCCCAGCACCACAGACAGTCAGACAGACAACCACTAACAAATAAAATCATCTCAGCGCTTACTCAATAACAAACTGGTATTTTTTTCCCCAGAGAATTTGTCCTTGAGTGTACAAATGGCTGCCTCTTGACAACTTTATCCTTTTAATAAAAATATACTACTTATCCATGAGCAAATACATTCAAGATGTAGACAAAAACCCAAAGACCCACTAGGTTTAATGCAGGGCTTTCAACCTCAGCCCTGTCATCATTTTGAAGTGAGTATCCCTTGCTGTGGTGGTCTGTCCAGGTCACTGTGGGATGTTCAGCAGCGTCCTTGGCCTCTGTCAATTAGCACCCCAACCCAGCTATAAAGCTAAAAAATGTCCGTAGGTATCCCCAAGTCTCCCATGGGGGTTGGCAGCTTGGCAAAATCATCCCAGTTGATGACCACTGGCTAATTTCCTCTCATCTGAGAAAAGCAATGATAGTTTTGTGGTCCCAGCAGGAAAGAGGGATTTGGATTCAAGTGGCAGAGGATCTGGCTTCTGAGGAATGTGTGTAGCCTTCTTCGATTGTCCTCGTAATGCAGCCAATCACTCAGCGGATTAAGACCAACCAGGAGGAGGTCATCGCTCTGCTTTGTCAGGTTCTGGGTCTGAACCACAATCTGCTGAAGAAGGAAACACACATTGTGTCAACCAGTTTTCTATCCCTGTGAAGAGACACCATGACCAAAGCAACTTATAAAAGAAAGCATTTAATTGGGGGATTGCTTACTGTTTCAGTGGGTAAGTCCATGGCCATCATGGTGAGAAGAATGGTGGCAGGCACGGTACTAGAGCAGTAGCTGAGAAGAGCTTACACTCTGATCCATAAGCAGGAGGCACAGAAAGAGCTAGGCTAGGCCTGGCTTGGGCTTTTGAAACCTAAAACACCACCCCTAGTGGCACGCCTCCTCCAACAGGGCCACACCTAATTCTTTCCAAACAACTCCACTAACTAGAGACCAAGCATTTGAGTATATGAGCCCATGGGGGCCATTCTCATTAAAACACCAGAGCATGCTTTACAGATGCTGAAACTGAGGCCCAGATAGAGTAAGTAACTAGCTGTTATCCAAGATGCAGACTGACAGCATTGATGGATGAAGCTTGAGTCTATCTTTTACCACCACACTGAGATGAACAGTATGTGCCCAGGCATCCAGGTGAGAACAGAGTGCAGCTAAACAGATAAAACACACACACACACACACACACACACACACACACACACACACACACACGCACTCAATGCAGGCTGTCCTTCTGTATACTGTGAATATATGTTTCTCTTATTGGTTGATGAATAAAGCTGTTTCAACCAATAGAAAGGCAGAATGTAGCCAGGCAGGAAGTATAGGTGGGGCTACCTGGCTAGGAGATGGCTGGGAAGAGAAACGCAGAGAGAGTCGCCTGGGAGACACCATGTAGCTGCTGAAGGAGTAACATGCTGGAGCATTATGGGTAAGCCACAGCCTCGTGGCAATACATAGTTTAATAGAAATGGGTTAATAATTAAGAGAGAGCTAGTAAGTAAGAAGCCTAGCCATTAGCCAAATAGTTTATAATTAACATAACTCTGTGTGTGTTTATTTGGGACTAAATGGCTGCGGGACGGGACAGGACAGAAATTCTCTCTCTCTCTCTCTCTCTCTCTCTCTCTCTCTCTCCTCTCTCTTTTGGTGGGAATGGAGTCTGTGGTGGAGGGTCTTATTCTTCCAGGAAGCCAGGCCTCTTGTTTGACTGCTCAGAGGATACCAAGGCTACATGCTCTGATTCACTTCCTATGGCAGATGGAAGCTGCTGACCCCACACTTCAATATTCTTGTTAAACTTCCTCCAATACATGATGGGCTAGAAACACCATCCATCCGTTTCAGACCAGGAATAGCATATATAGGGGACTAGACAAGTCAGGCCTTAGAGATCTAGAAATGGGAGGGACTTTTTACTTCTTACACAGGAGTTATCTTGTTTTTGTTCTTCATCTATGAGCAAAGTACCAGAGAGATGTAGTCAGAACAAACTGAAAGTCTTCAGTTCCAAGTTGACTGTGCATGCTCAGCCCGTGTTTCTGCAGGCCACGAAGCAGAGGGCAGGGACTGGGTTTCTTGGGGCATTCAGTGAGATCTTTAAGTTTTCTATTGCAAGGGAAATTGCAGAAGACATGAGGTTGATCACGGTGAAGAAAACCCTGGAAGAACTAAGGTGTCTAATGAGGGAGTCCGTGGCTTCTTCTGAGTGTTGGGGGCTGTAAGTCCTCCCTACTGACTCCCCATGAAGCCTTGAGTAAAATATTAATGGCCCATCATCACCTGGCGTCAGATACTTATCTCATCACTGTGACTGAATTCCCAACAAGAAGGAGCTAGAGAGAGGAAGGACACTCAGCCTCACAGACCTAGAGTGTGTGGTCCACAAGGACGGGGAAGTTGTGGTGGTGAGAGTATGTGGCAGGACTCCTCACCTCTAGGTGGCTGGCCAGGAAGTAGGGTGTCCATGAAAGGCAGGCTGTTTGTAACTTTTAATGTCTATCTCAGTGACTTACTTCCTCCTCTTCATGCTGGGTAGATGATTTCCTCTGCCAGGAACCAAAGCTCAGAAAGGTGACACATGTTTCCCACAACTCAAAAAGCAGTTAGCAGCAGAGGGGAGCTCACACTTGGAATGGGTGACAAGCAAATGCTTCTTCTACTCCCTATATCTTAGTTCCAAGTAAGGAAGAAAAGCCAGCCTGGAAAGCCTCTCTGTCCTCAGGATCTCCACTGAATAAGGGGATGTCACATGGAGGGGAGCAATAAGGATCTCTAAAGTCTCCCCACCCTTCCAAAGCCAGACCCTGGGAAAATGAGCTCCTGTATATGCCTGGGCTTTGTGTGGCTCCTCTGGATCCCTCTGGTGTCTGAGCAGACACATCATTGGCTAAGGCCTGTTCTCAGGAGGGCATGGAATTCTCCAGAAAAGAAAAAAGCAAGGCATATGACTGCTACTGTATCTATAGCTTCAGGTGAAATCTGCTTGGGAGCTACTGAGTCCATGTATCTTGTCCTTGGCTCTGTTGCTGTGCTTGGGCCTGCAGCTGAATAAGTGCAGTGAGAAGCTCTTTCTGTAAGAAAACTTCTGTAAGAAGACTTGCGGTGGGGTCTGTGTCCTGCAAACCCACTGCAGGTTGAAAGTATCACAAGTCAAAATTGCATTGAGTTTTTTCAAAGCCTGTGGAGCATCCTACTGATCTCAGCAACACAGAGAACAGTGGCTGTGTACTTGTAAATGTGGGGCTGGCTGGGAGCTGACTGCTTCTGCTGCCACCGCCTGACATCAAGACAGGATCAGACTGTTAAAGAAAAGGACCACATCCAAAATTCCAAATACAGAAATCTAGTTTGGGTAAATGTGCTTGCTGCCAAACTGCATGGCCTGAGTTCAATCCCTGGGACCCACATGGTGCAAGGAGAGAACTGAATCCCAGAAGGCTGCCTCTGACCTCCACAGGTGTGCCATGAAATGCATGTGCTTTCCCAGACACAAAATAAATAAGGATGTCATTTTTAAAAATCTGTCTGACCGTGACTGAATAAGTATTTTTTCCCACCAACATACTAAGCAATGTAGGTTGGACCTCATAAATTAGAAGCCATTTGTATTTCAGTGCCAACCTTCAAAAGTTCATGGTAGAGTATCATGTTCAAAAAGAAGGGCCCAGAGGGGTGCCATCATTCTCAGCTACTAAAGTTCAAAATATATAAAGAAGAATCAAAGGCTGGCTCCAGTCTGGGCTTGGAGACTCCAGTTCTGGGGTGGAAACAGAAAGTGACATCCATCCCCCACACAAGGCAGAGACCATGAGCCACTAGGCAGGAGTCAAGTTGAAGAGCGAAGAGCAAGAATCTGGTGCACACTCTCTATGTGCCACTGAGAAGTATGACACGTTGCAAGAGCCTTCCAAGAGACTGGTCACTGTGTACTCTGAAAAGGGAGAATCAAAGATTAATCAGCAACAATTTGTAATCGAGAGTCTGCATGTTGATTCGCGCGCGTGTGTGTGTGTGTGTGTGTGTGTGTGTGTGTGTGTGTGTGTGTAAACTGTGGATACCAGAACGTATACTAGCATTTTCCTACATGCTTAGGCTCCAATGACAACTATAAACAAATCCTTGTAGATTATATCTTTATGGTGTTGCTATGTGGATATTGATATGAAGAGGTATGTATTTTTATCAAGCTGGCTCTATTTGACCTCATCCTGGTACCTAATAAAGCACTGATAAACTGCTATTCTTCAAATATTATGTGATTAGTCACAGTAGTCAGATGTGGTACCCCACATCTGTCATCTCAGGATTCAGGATCTGAGGAGGGAGGATTGCTACATGTTTGAGGCCATTGAGGGTAATTTCATGGGTTCCAGGTGACCCTAGGCTATAGCCTGAGGCTGTAGGGAGACACTGTAACTATGCCTCCCAAGGGAGGAGGTCGGGGTGTGGTCAAGGTATGGTCAAGGTGATGTCAGGGTGATGTGGTAAAGGTTTAAAGAGATAGGGGACGCACATGGTACCTCTCTTGTCTCTGCTGCTTCGGCTCACTCTGGTTTCCTGTTGGCTGGCGTTTACTTATTAAAGATATCCTGACCACTACAGGCTACATATTAGTTATTCACCATAATACGAGGCCTTGTCTTAACGTAATGATGATAATCACCATCATGATGATGATGGAAGTGGTGATATTGATGGTGGTGGTGGTGAGTGTGAGATCTAGAGCATTCTTTTTGGCCTTATGAACTTGCTGCAAGGCACAAAAGCACTGTATTGTAATTAGAGGAGATATCATCTGCTGTGCTCTTGTTTGGACCACTGACTTAGTGATTGTTTTAGTTAGGGTTTCTTTTGCTGTGATGAAAAGCCATGACCAAAAAGCCATTATGGAGGAAAGGGTTTATTTGACTTACACCTCCATATCACTGTTCATCTTCGAAGGTAGTCAGGACAGTCTGGGTTTAGAATTTGAGTGAGTGATCTGAATCTCACTGGGGCCTCCAGAAAATGTTAATCACAGCAATGAGAATAAGACCATTACCACAGTTTGAGTCAAATTTGAAGTAAGCTTCATTTTTTTAATTGGATTGCACCCAAGAACTGGCCACAGACTGCCTCCTAAGTCAGGCTAAAGAGAGCACCATGGAATCCATTTCTTGGGCCCCCTTTAAATAGCAAAATCATGAGTGATTTTACAGAAGAAAGACAATGGGGGCAATATGGAAATACAGAAAAAAATCTCAAGAAACATCATGTCACCATGTGATTAGAAAGGGTTCAGGGAAGGTCAGGGAATGTAAGGGTATTCTCAAAAACAAGTCAAGGTCATGGGTTGGGGAATGTCAGGTTCCAGGAAACAGCAGCTCAATAAATAGAAACTTATTTTTAACAATACAGCATAATGGCTCCTGCCATCAAAAATGGAGTCAGGCAGGTTCCTCAATAGCAAGGAGTGCCCAAAGGTGCTAGCGTTCCTGCAATAGATCAGAAAGTATCACTCACAAAGATTTCTCAGAGATGGATTGTCTCTGCCTTCCTGTTCCCAGAGTTGGCAAGTAATCCGGAGAAGCTGAAATCAAAATTGCATGCACTTAACTCTTCTTTAAAACTAGTTTCTTTCCCTCCCTCCCCATCTCCGTTGCATCATCCCTACTCCTTCCAGTCCCTGACCCTTCCTTCCCTTCCCTTTCCTTCTTCCCTCTGTTGTGTTGTTTAAAAATCGGTTTACTTTTTCTGTGGTCCTAGGGATCCAGTCATTTTTACTGTGTATTCTGTGTGTACTGGGGATCAAATCCACTATCAGGCAAGCATTCCAACCGTGCGGCACCTTCGGGTTCTTTCCTGAAGTTCTTTTTTTTTTCTCTCTCTTTTTATTATTATTAATTCAAGTTAGGGAACAGGCTTGTTTCACATGTAATTCCCCTCTCCCTCTCCCTCTCCCTCCCCTTACCCCCATTCCTTCTCCCCCACC